TATTGCTTGTCGTCGACTCGTAGTGACACGGTTCTACGTCAACTCGTACTATTAGATTATTTCTTCTCTAAAACATGAATACTTTAGTTAGTAATTACAAGAACACGTTCAGCTACAACAATAGTGTGTAATCGATCAATTTTCACCAGAATTCACTTTGATTCACTTGAATTTCCGAAACGAAATATAAGTGAATAATATACGGTTATTATGAGTCTAATCCTCCAATTATGTTGAACTTTGTCAGACTGTGGCGATTTAATTCTGCAAATGAGTCAGTGACCAGTAACTTAACGCAGCTGTTCAATTTAAAATAAATATTTATATTCATATTGGATATTTCAAAGATTGATTGGGTGAATGACAAGTCATGTTACAGACAATTGAACGATTTCTTTCATAAACGTGAATTAGCTATAGCTGTATTTCAACAATGTGATGTATATGCTATGCATAATTTAAATTGCCAGAATATTGTTTATTTTTAGTGGTGAAATTTAGTAGGAATCTAGATAAATACTCGTAAACAGGTGTACAGTTTAGTATAGAATAAGTGCAATTACTACAATAGAGAGGTTTAGCCAGCACGTATTCACGTCAGGAGTTGCATTTGGCGATTAAAAAATCCGAAAAGAAAAGTATGATAAATTATCGAAATGTTACCAAAAGTTTGAAACATTACATATGCTAAATTAGACCATCAGTATAAAATGAACACAATTTAGTCATATCTGTTGAATTCTACAATTTCTCATCACTCTACATTTGAACATTATTTTTAACCTAATGTTGGTAAAGGTGAAATTTGTGAAGGTGACTTTCATTATGTGGTAAATTACGTCATTATGGATGATGTCATGATGTCATGTTTCATAATTACACAGCTACTTTGTCTGTTACTTCATCGTTATCTGAAACTGACGAATATATTGTCACAGTTGCTATATTGACAATTTTCACAAGCTTTTGTGGCAGCTACATTTCATTGTACCGAATTCTGTTGAACACTTACATCGGATTATCTCGAGCAGTGTAACTTGCGCAGAAATTGTGTCAAGTATGTCGCCATATACGTTCCAGTCCCACTCATTGGGATCCATGCTGTTGTCATCCCATATTCACTGCATTACTTGTGAATAAGTCTATCGAGATGGATGATTTGTGGCTTCCTCTTATGTTTGCATAATGACACTAGCGACACTATGGACACTACCTTGAGTCCCCTTAAACAAGCATAGCATTGCCTTGCGGCCAGTGGTTTCAATAGTACCTTGATTCGTCTATAGTGATCTTTGAACATGCAGACAAGACAGAATTGCCCTTGGTCAATTGTTAGAGGACATACTTTTGTCGAACTTATAGATGTAGAGTCACTCAAACCTTAATACACATTTGATTTCCCTTTGGTTTTGTCAGAACGAAAATAACGATCCTTGCAGTCCTTTGCTCCATGATACAGTAATACTAGTAACAAACATGTGTTTAATCCAATATAGGTTGTTGAATTGTTTGATAACATTAATTGTATTGGCTCATCGATGATAATTTTGCTTTTCTGTTGTATGCGGTTTGCAATCAGGTAGATGGCAGTTCTGTTCATATCCTTTGAGAGAAATTCATCATTTGTCTAACAAATTTGGTTGGAAATCTGATATCTGATATATTGACTTTATTTGTAACTTTTTCTGCGCTGATGTGTATTGTCCTTATCGCATCCGTCACATATAGATTAAATGAGAAGGATGCATATGTATCAGCAATTGATCTGTACGGGGTTCCTTCTTTCCGTCACATTTATTTAACTGTATCTTTTACAATGAAAGGATTTTGAACATTTATATTTATATCCGTGATAATATTTCTTAAAGTTGTCTATCCAGAGAAATGTTCTTCAAGCCTGTTTGCAAGTTTTACTAACTTAGCCTGTCTGTTCCTTTTCATTTGTGAATCAGTTGCTTCCTTTTTTTGTTCACTTGATATATACACCGTATTATTGAAGTTCTTCAAGGCAAAATTGTAGTTCGAGGATATGGGAAGAGACATTATCCAAAGCTCTTCAGTCATGCCAATTCGCTAGTTATTTAAAACCAACTTTACTCTTCAAGGACCACATTCGAGTTCGCTCAATGGCCAATCAGAGCCAAGACCAACTCATTACTGATTAGTGAAACTAATGAAATCTATGTAAACATTTCATGTACATTGGAGATAAATATATGCAGATTTAAGTAAATTAGCATTCCCAGCAGCAGCAAATATAGGTAAACACTCAGATATAGCCTGGACGATACATTTGCCAGAACTCTGTGTGATCAGTTTTGATGATTTATCAGGCAACTTCCAACATTCGTTGATAGCTGGGCCACACTTTGCTTGTTTTTGAACTATTGGATAATTCAAATTTTAGCGCTTCAATAAAATCTGATTTTAATAATGTGTCCAAGTCAATTAGAGTATATAGTCTTTCAATTTCTTGCCTGGTCCATATTCAATGACATTGATGCATCATGTATAACTTATTTCTAAGGATTCCAGCTAAATGAAGTGCATTGTCTGAAGACATGCATGATATATAACGGGCTTATATGAGTAACTAGACTGATCTCAGCAGCATTTTTTTAAATATCTATATTAACCGAAGAATTTATTACGAGACAGCTACACAATCATTTTAATCACAGAGCCACGGGTTTAGATACAATTAAGACTACTTTTTCTGAAGTTTCGGAAAATGTAATCCCTTCCTCTTTAACTACTTTGTTCAATCACAGCATTTACCTCAGGTGTTTATCCGGACATGTAAAAGCTACCAATTTACAAATCATGGGATAGATCGAATGTTAAAATTCATTGACCCAATACTGGCACACAATTGTCTAGCACAGATATGTTCATGATTCGTTCTGCGCATATTTAAATAATAACAACTCTATTAATGATGTACAGTTAGGTTTTCGAAAATCGCTTTCTTGCCAGGCTGCTCTGATTAAAGCCATATATTCAGGCAAAGGTGTGGTGTGTGTTTTTCTCGATCTTTTCTTTTCTCGAGGTGTTTAATTATTTGATCATTGACTATATCATGTTATTACAAAAGCTTGAATGTTATCCATGCTCTAATGAATCAATCATAAGGGTCTCATCGTATTTGAAAGAAAGATCATAGCGGGTAAATATCAAGAGTACACTTTCTTTCCCCAGGAGTTCAATCTATTTATGAATGATCTTAATCTGACTCCTGTCACCAGTTGGATATGTATGCGGATGATACGATTATTTCCATGTTTGGAAAATCTATTAATATTTCAATGTTATTAAATACTGATTTGATGCATGCGAGTATATGGTAAGAATACTGTAATACTAGTACTGATATGCTTTTTCTATGGGTTAACAAAATAAACCCAGTTTCAAGTCTCTTTTGCAATTACAGAATTATCTAATGTTACCAGAGAAAAAGTCCTCGACAAGTACTAGAACAATATGTTTTTTTTTAAGTAATTGGAATTACAGATTGTTTCAAGTAGTTTCTGATATCAAGTGCATTTCTGTTTCAAAGTCGTATGTACTGACTTCACTTTCTAATTCTCCAAAACTTAATATCTTCACAGTGGGAGTATGTTGAATTATAATAGTTATCTTATTGTCACAGACCTCTCTAACTCTATGTATCTATGAAACAATACATAATGCGAAGTATGTATGAGAGGTGCATGTTGGGGATATTCAACTGTATAGACAAGACAAGAGCTTGTCTCAAATACATGTCTCATAACAGACATCTCTGGTAGAGTGTTCATCTTGTAAGTCTTTATTGTCACGGGGTGGGGGAGCGTTTGGCGATGATATATATCACCACAACCGACACTGTGCAAGAAAAGTAACAACAGTATGATATATACAGTTCATTGTAGTAATTATAGATAACCGTAGGAATTGTTTTGAAATGAAAAAAACATTGTTGCTGTACTCCATAGTAGTTGTACTACTATAGGGTGGTGTATATATTGTATTTGTTTTGGGAAAATGTGTATTTGTGTTAATTTGGCAGTGAATTTGGTGATGCACATCCGTTGTGTCAGTGAAGTGCTCGTTAGAATCAAGGTGCCGGATATTCACCCAATAGTGTAAATCAGAGTAGTCTTCTCTGCTTTCCAAACACGTGGTATTAGGCTTAGGGGAAAAGCTTACATGTGTACTTGAAATTATCAGCTAAGACAAAAGACATTAGAAATGATAGCAGTGACTTCAATGACACCCGGAACAAAAATGACGCCTGGCTCGGACCCATGGATGTAGACTGACGTGGTGGACGTATCAACTCTCAGCACAATGACGCTAAGATAAACAACTGAAAACTGAGAACAACCGATAATATGATTATTCATAAGGATCGATACAAATCCGCTCTAAATAGGTAATTTTCCGTTCAACTGCGTGATCGTGCTTATTGCGTGTTCGAAACGAACCGAGCGTCTGCAGCAAAAATCGAAAAATTTAATTTTGAACCAGTTTTTTTTTTCCGTACCTCAAAGTCGAAAGGTCGATTTTTGACAGGGAAATGTTACATTTAGATTTCTTTACTTCATCGAAATTCACCATCATCAAATTTATACAGCACATTATTAAGCGTGGAAATACCCCTAGTATCCATTGTTGAATCTGGCGCCAGGTTTGACGCGATTTCTACGACGCTATGACCTTTGTTTATCCTGGTTTGACGTTCAATTTCAAGTATAACGCTGGATCTCGCAGAGAGCGGGGAATGGTCTATAAGGTAAAACAGCGGGAACATGAATATCTTCTCTCTCAAGCACACAAATAAACGAAAAGGTAATAAAAATATGCAAATACACACATGCACACAAATAAATATTCACAGGGCGTCATACGTCATTTGATGAATGATGACTTTAATTATGATGTAATGTGGCGCTAATTTACATATCAATGATATTTTAAATAATTACTTATCGCCGTCTATAATTGTTACTTTTTATAAACCATATGGTGGTGTGACGTCGTCTTCTATGGACTTGCGCAGTATCCAGCTGGAGATAAAATGTAAATTTTATAATCAGATAGACGAAATGGGGAGACACGATCTACTATAATATCACATCATATTGTTCTGAGCAACAACAAAAAAACTCTCAAAATTGTTTCCGTCTTGCCTGTTAAATAGGGAAAAAAACAGTTGAATCTGAGTGTCTATTTTGATCTGATAGTTAATCATGTTATGATAAACTTACGAACTTCACAAATGAAAGCCTTTTTATCTGTACAGCACACATCATCCATTTTGAAGGTAGGGTCTTTTTTTGGTCTTTTCCTATGTATAAAAATATAATGCATGAAGCAATAAACGAACCAATACTCATAAGTTACGCGTTTCGTTTTGCCCTAATAAAGTGACTTGGTAAGATTACAGAGTACGCCACGTACGTCACGAAGTGATTAGCTGAATAACACTTTATGGAAAATTTTTGAATAAAACACATATTGCAAGCAGAATATCGAAATTAGAATCAACGTACCACAGTTGACAACAATCCTGGTCCCCATCCTTTGCATCGCAATTACCGGTATATTTGTTGTTTGGATAGGAATACCAGGCACTGTCAGGCACATTAACCTTCTCTCCATTCAACCATACGAATATGCCTTCATTTTCCTCGTCGTGACACCCAATCCAGTAGCCTTTCCCTTTTGGGTCGGACAATCCCGGAACATTCTTTATGAAATTTCTCACCGAGTTTCGTACACTGTTAGATTCTAAATTAGCTAAACCGGCAACAAAGCCTCTCGGAGCGAAGAGGTCATTGCATTGTGTATCTGCGTCGTGCCACGTCAGGGAGCCTTGCCAAACCATTTTATATAAATTGTCACCAACACATAGTTCGTCTAGTATAAATGAAAATAAAATCAGTACTGTTACAAATTCACGTAATACAAATTAAAATTGCAATTATTTATCTATGGGTTAATATTTTGAATACAATCGGTTCTAAGTCACGTCATACTATCGTACCTCATACTATGAATCTATTGAATCAGTTTATCATAAAACAATCCACAATACATGGAATTAAGCAAGTCATTAATTTAACTGGTATCCCATGCTACTACAAACTATTAATGCAAAATGTGTACCCTGCTTACCATTTTCCAATGGCAACGGGCAACACAATCGAATCTTGTAGTTCATACAAGGGGACACATTGTCTTCATGAAAGCATATCAAGCCATCGGGTAAATCACAGTGTACGGTCTGTCCAGTTTCGTACGATAGTGTAAACGGTTCAAGCACTGTACGACACTCAATACTGCTAGGGGTTTCGCAGAAATCATAGAGACTACGAAGATCAGGAAGGTATTCAAATTCACCAATTGCAGGGTCAACAAGACCACCATTTTCGTCATCCATCCACTGTGTCCAATTCCTACACTCTTCATTTTGAAAGGAATATTAAATTAAAGATATATTTTAAAACTTGTTCTCAAATCGGAAGGATAAGAGCGAAATAAAATTGTTAGTTTAAAGTAAATCAATTTCATAAACAAGTTATTACCACAGATGATATTTTTTGACTAGATACAACAGGAAATGTCACATCAAATAATTTCACATTTATTATATATCAAGTTCTAAAGCACACTCACAATCATACAAATATACAAAAAACGATTCTTACCACTTTGCGTATCACCCTAATGAAAGTAAAATAACATACATGAATTTAATTGGAAATAACATACATATATTTAAAAATAAATCATATAGTGATATTAGTGATATTTTTCAAGTCCAAGAACGAAAAACAAATGACTGACAGCAATTGGCAGAACAATCCACAATAACAAAACAAAAACAAGTGTATGTACACTATACACTAAATCCATAGTAATTATAAAATGATGTTGGATGTTTCGAAGTGTGAGCACAACCTGCGCCACTTGTGACACCCACTGCATATCTTTTTGTGCCATAATCAAAATAACATAAAATACATTTTCTGCATAGTGTATGTGTGATTGAATAATGTAAATACGAATTACAGTTTAATAAATTATGGTGTGACAAATTAACATTTACTTACGCTAAATGCCCATGACACGACTAAAAACAAATGTACGAACCACCTGAACTGTTTCCCATCCATACTGTCGGTAAACTATCAAAATTATAGCCTCTGCTGTATTTATATTTCTTCATCTATATCCAGTTCTGCCAGGCGATGTTAATACTTAGCCAAATACAAATATTAACTACAAATTACCCATTTTGTTTACATCAAAGGAAGTCATTATGGCCATGTGTTATAATACGGATTCATTTGCCAGCATACGTTGTACTTATTACTGATACAAGTACTTAAATAAAAATACAATATGTGACTTCATTTCACTTCAAACATCTCATTTCCCCAGTACATTTGCCAATTGGAAATAGTG